TAAAAGTCTGATATTTATATCCTGACCATTTCTGAATTTGTGCAAGAACAAGTTTTATATTTTCTGTTTCAGAATCGTATTCTGGAGATACTGCAAAGTGCTGCTCGTGTCACCAGAGCTGCCTATGAGCTGATACAGGATCACAGCCTCCTAACCTGGGTCCTGCACAGCTTAGAGAAAAGGTAACTAGGGAAATACTGGAGAAATGGGAACAATTCTGCTGTCCCCAGTAGCATAATTATGTGACTGAGTATGAAAACCAAGGTGACAGATACAGAGACAGTCGGGGCTGGTGATGTTCAGCACCAAGGGCTGTACTGGCAGAACTTGCTGAACTCTGAAATGTCCCTTGTGTTTCTGAAAACAGAAACAAGATGCTTTTGGGTTGTGGAAGGAGGGACGATGGAGGGCGCTTTGTGTTTTTGAGAACACTTCCTTGAAAAACTTAGCAAAACGGTGCCTTGTTTTAGTGTATGTAGCTTTTAAATTTCAAATGCCCACAATTCACATCCTGTCATAGGAGCTGCTGCACAGTGACTGGCACAGTAATGGATTTGAGCTGTCTAGAACATTTCTCCTCCTGCTCCTTCCTCCTCCCCTTGCCTCTCCTTCACATACATGGGCACACACACACAAAATCTCTTCTGCACAGAGTGCTCTGACAGGTTCAGCCAAGGCTTTACACCAAAAATGCACAAGAATATGGTCCCCTGTAGGTGATGGACCAGTTCCTGGACAGGATCTGCCTTCCAAATGGGTTTTCCTTCTTTTGTTTTTCAGGTTTCTGGAAAACAAAGTGATAAATAAAATTATTTCCTTACTCCATACTCTGTGGCTAACAAATCTAGGAGACAAGAGAGAAAGCAAGAATCAGTCCCAGGAGAACAGGAAATTTCTTCCTATTCAGCTTGTAAATGAATTTCTGTATGTTTTGATCACGTTAATCAAACACATTCGGTAAGTCCTCTGATTTTGTTTTTAATCAGTTTGCATCTCGTCCTCTCTCCCTTTCGAAATTTATTAAGGGCAGAAGAATTTCTTGATGTCTGGTAGTTCCCTGCTTTTTTTCACCTTCTGTTTAGAAGTTGAGTAGTGACTTTGGATGAGATTTCTTTGGCAGGAAGGTTTAGCTGTTTGATGACATGGGGAATAAAGTAACATTGGATGCACAGTTGCTGTTAAGTTCTACATCCTTCATTCCTAATCATATGGCCTGTAAGGAGAAAAAAACTTGTACTTATTTTATTAATTACCACACAGAAAAATACATGGCACTTGTGTCTTCTTTCCACAGGACTAATCTGGATCTGGCCAAGCTGACTCAGTTCTTCAGCACCCTCAGTTCTGTGCTGGAATATCGCGCTGTGGTTGTTGAGGCCTTCCGGGAGATGAGGCGTTTCACGGTGAATGACGGAGTCCTCTCCAACAGGGACGTGCTGCTGCTGCTGCACAAGTGGAGCCTCATCGACAGAGACTTGCAGCTGCAGGAGGACCTGCAGGCCCTTGCTCAGAAATACCAAATCAAAGAATTGCTCAGTAAGTACTAAAATGTTTCAGAGAAGGAAGACTTTGTTGAGCTGTCACCAACCGTGTAAGTGAGGCAAACTTCCCAGGAAACAGTGTATTAATAACTTCAGTCGGATGATCTGATGCAACTTGCTGGAGAAGGAGGAAGGGAAATGGAAAGCTATTTTTCAGGTCTTCCTTGCAGCGGTTTCTAATTTTAACACAATTTAGAAGCTTTGGAGAAACACAGTTTTAGAAAGGGAAAGAGCTTTAAAATGAAACTCAATTGCAAATCTGGTATCAGGCTTTGAGAAACTGTATTCTTAAATCTTAAAAGAAAAAGCAATGCCTGGAGGCTTTGTGCTCAAAGGTTTGAATCGTTCAGAGTGTGGATGGGGCATCTGGAAGTGATACATGAGTAAAAACAATAAAGCAAGGGAAAATTAAACAGTTAATTTTTCAGTGTGTGAAGAAAGGGAAAATATGTCTGGACTTGTGTGACTTCTCTTGTGATCTCTGTGAATAAAATGTCCAAGGAACTTGGTAGCAAGAGGTGGTTAAACAACACTGGTTTCCTGCAGCTACCACTGCTCTTGGTGCACATTATAGATTTGTTTAAATGTTCTGTATCAGTTTATTTATGAAACTATCACATATTGAAGGGATACTGTAAAAGCTTTAGTTTTTCTGAAGTTTTTCACACCCTTTAAAAAGCTCCTCAGAAAGACACAAAGAGAGTTGTTGTAATGACATCTGTAACTACTGTATGTGTGGGTTTAAAACACAGTGTGTTGCTCCAAGCCTCCAGAGCTTCTCTCACCTCCAGGCTGGGTGATCCTGTTCAGAGCAGTGTTCCAGCCTGAGTCCCTGGGAGCTGCCCAGAGCCCATTTGAATGGCACAGGCTCCATGAGGCAGCAAAACGAGGCTGGTGCTTACCCTTTTAGCAACTGAATCAACACAGCAGACTACTTCTCTTGCATAATTTTGTACCAGGAAAGTACATAGATACCTGTGGAGTATCTGATGTTTGTTTTGGTGGTGGTTTTCTTCTTACAGGAAATATTAAAGACAAGAACAAGCCCCAAGCCTCATCTCGTGCATATCGTCACATTCGGAAAAAGAACGGGGTAGAAGAAGATGACGCTGCTGGAGACCTGGAAGTGTCTGAGCTGGAGAAATGCAGAGACCATCTCAATTCCATATTTGCCCACTGGGAGCCTGTTTTCCCAGGGCCCCCTTCCAAACAGGGAGGGGAGCCCCTCAGGCCCAATGACCTTGGGGACGACTCCGTCAGTCTCACCTGTGCGTGCACTCTCCTGGTCACGAAATGGCTGGTGAAGTCCATGGTGGAGCACAGCCTCAGCGAGCAGAACGTGGCACTGATGCTGCGCTGGCTCCAGGGGTGTGTCGTGCCACAGCCGGCGGCCACGCGGGAGATGCTCAGGGATGGGACACTGAGGAAGAACCTCTTCAAGTTCTACACCCGTGTCTGTGAGGCTCAGCTCTCCAAGGAGCTCCCTGTGCTCAGCTCCATCATGCTTCGGCTCTTGGATGCTCAGGGCCTGGCCAGCAGCTTCCATGAGCTTGTGAAATCCTTGTGCCTCTCAGCCACGACAGAAGAGGATGAGAACAGGAAAGGTAACTTGTCTTTTCCTTATCTCTCTTGTTACAGGGCAGTAATGGGAGGAAGTGGGGAGTTCCATGGGTTTTTTTAATTCAAAAAACCATTTTGAAGTTTGCCCATGCCTGCTGGAGCTCATAGCCTTCCAAGATAGAAGCTGTGTGTGTGTGGTGGGATGGGCGCAGGGTGGGCAGCACAGAGAAGGGTCACACCTGTGGGCCTTTCTGACAGTGCAACACTCACAGTCCTGCAAAGGAGCTTCCCTTTCGAGCACTAAAATTGGAGTTCAGTGAGGCATGAAAAAAATACAATTCCAAGGGGAAAAACAGTCTGCAACAAAAAACAAGTCCATGTGGGCATGGGTGCTGATCCATGTGCTGGTCAGTGATGGCCAGATTTCAAGCTGTTTTATTTAAGGAAGCTGACAGGAAACTGGTTTGTCTCCTTTGTGTGAGGGGAGTCATTGGCTTTGCATGGGCAACACCCCCCCCCCCCTGATTTTCCATCTAGGAAAAGAGGAAACTATTTTAAAATATAAGTCTGGAGGTAGATGGTTTGATATTACTATGGGGAAGTAGAAGAGTATCTGTTCAGATTTCTCTTAATTTGTCTTCCACAGCTGTTTGTGTATTCCTGACCTCCGTTTACATCAAGGACATGTGGCTCGGAGCACAGGAGCCAGATATGTTAATAACTCATGTCAGACTGATCTGCACTAGTGCAGATGGTGAAATGAACGGTGATGACTTGGAAACTCAGGAGCAAGGAGAAGAAACTATTGTGTCTCTTTGCAAAACCCTTCACCTGGCAACATCAGGGCATTAACTCAGGGAACTGACTTAATCTTTAATGTTCTGTGCTCTGCCATCGTCACTGTGAGCCTTGAAACCCTCCTGAGCTGTCCCCATACAGACCTAACTGGTTTGGTCATGAAAATCAGTATTTTATTACTGTTTACTGAGCAGACTCAGAGGGGGAGAATTGTATTCATTGTCTCTCAGTGGGACATTAAATTTCCAATTTCCCTTTTCTTGAACAGTATGGGAACATGACATTTATATAATTTTTATTAAGGCATTTTTAACTTTACGAAGAACCAAAAAGACTGTTTCCTGCACTCTGGATCTGTGTCCAGACACAGTTCCAGTCCCTGTGTCGTTAAAATCCATCCTCTCTCCAATATAAGATGGGGGGAAAAAAGGCTGCAGAACTTCCCACAATGTGGTGTAAGTGCAAAGAACAAGGAGCTGGAGGTTTAGCCATGATTATTATTTCATGATACCAAAACCAGTGTGGATAACAGACTGAACACTGGAATCATGGTGGTCTGTGATTCTTCTTTTAAATTATATGGCTTTTGAAAGCATTTATATTAGAGCTGGTCTATTTTTATTATCCTTTTTTTTTTTTAATTAGAAAAAGCCCTGACCATCACTGCTGCTGGAACTTGCAGCAAAGGCCCATCTTCTCTCCACTTGGAACAGGTGAGAGATGGAACTAAACCCCAAGGGACTTGTTGCTAATTGATCATATGTGAGTTTTATTGGGAATTCTTTGTGAAATCTGATAGATAGTTCTGGAATGTGGCCTGGAGGGCAGGTGAACACGACAGTCCAGATCTGCAAACACCCAGGACCTGAAGCTTTGAAATGTAAACCAGGATTTATTAAATTGTCTCACAGCTACATGCTGTGCCCAAGTCCTTTGTACAAATCCTGTAGAGGGAAAAAAATTGTGCATTCCTTGTGATGGGTATTGAATTTGTTGTGGTTTTTAAATAAAAAACATGAGACACAAGTAATGAGATCACTTTTACATTTGAATATTCTTTTCCTAAAGAAGCTGTCAGCTCTGTATCAGGACTTGAGTTAAAAACGATATTTCTTAAAAATGCTGAAAGCCCCTTAGAGGCTACATTTTGTTGCAGGGGGCTGACATCAGGAAATCTGTGTGAAGCAAAAAAACCCTTATTTTTCTTGATTACAAAAAACAAACAGGCACAATGAAACCAAAGGTGTTCCAAAACAAAAGATGTCTTTCCATCTCACCTAACTGTTAAAAGAAAATACCCATGACACAAAGGGAAGGGATTTCTCAGTTGCCTCGAGGTCCTGAGCACACCCCACAGTGGTTTATAGTATGATCTGTTGAGAGAATTAAAGAAATAAGAGCATTCCACCAACCCAAGGATAGGAGGGATCACACAGTGTGAAAGTGGCACCTGGGGACATGGGTTAGTGGTGGCCTTGGCAGTGCTGGGGAACAGTTGGATTTGATCTTCAAGGGCTTTTCCAGCCTAAACAATTCCATGATTCTCTAATGGAGGACTCAGGGGGAAGGGGAAATAAAGTGCTCCCTGTGGAAAGCAAAGCACTGGGAAGCTTTGAAATGGGTACATATGGAATGTCATGGGAGGAAATGTTTTGCTCCCCCCACTCCCCTGCCCCCAGGTTGGGTGCTATAAGCCAGGGCTGTGTTTTGCATATTATTTATTAATGTTTATATACTTCATACTGTATTTCCAGGTAATTTGAAAGTTAAAAATCAAAAAGGTCTTTTTAGTGGTTACGTGCTCTGAGCCCTGTTCCAGTGCAACCCATGGAAGAACACCTGTTGTCATGAATGGGAGTGTTCACATCTTCCAGAAATCCCCTTGAAATCCCCTTGTGGAGTGGAGGATCTTAAAAAAGGGGGTGATACAAGTCTGTCCTGAGTCAGGGAGGAGGATGCTGGAGCAGGCAGGCCATGCAGAACTGGTCAGGAGAGAGGTTCCAGCTGAGGGCATACACATGAGGCAGGAATGGTTGAAGCTGCTGCATCCTTGAGGAGGAAAATGGGTCTGGATGGTCAGGTTTGCTCCCAGTGTGTCTTTGGTGATGCTGGGTGACTGCAGTGGAGTTACTATTGCAAGTAATTCCCAATTTGCAGTGGAACAGCTGGTTCCAGCAAGGGAGTGGATTCTTGTCTCATGTGAGAAGTCCCTCAGCTCTGGCAAAGGGTGAGGGGGCCCCGAGGAAACAGGGGAGGCTGTTGTGGCTATCTGAGTTGGCAAACAGAAACACTTGGCTCTGACACCTCTGTGTCCGTGCTGCACCATCAGTTTTGCAGCCTTTGCTCTTTCTCCACTCAGAGTGACCCAGCAGCCTTCACACCTGGGTGGGTCTCTGAGCCCAGCACTGCTCACAGCCAGTTTGCTCAGCAAACTGCAGCAGTGTCTTATCTCTGAGGCTAAAAAATACATCTGAAGATTTAAAAAACAAACCAGCAATACAAACATCTGCCTGGCGGGTTTGGTCTGTCTCTTGTGTTTAAGGCTTTGACAATGCAGCCCAACCCACCCACTCTGGCAACCATCCTGGCCCACACTCCCACATGAGGCTGCTCTGGCAGTGCTTCCCTGGAGGAGTTTTTGCTGCCTACTTGGGGATGTGGAATTTCTGTGCTTCTCCTCAAGTTTCAAATGAGTTTTGTGTTGACCTCAGCCCAGGAACTTGCTGAGCAGCCTTAACCTCTCTTCCAGCCCTCGCCCCCTTCCTCAGCCTGACTCTGCAGACCAGTTTTGTGCTTCCTGGAGCTCCGAGAGCTCCTCGACCTCTCCAGTTCTGCCTGGGTTTGGTGGGGAGGAGAGCTGGGAAGAGCCAAGGCCACTGAAGGGAGAGGGAATGTGAGTGGCTCTCATGACTCAGCTCCAGCTGAGCTGGACCCATCCCCTCCATGTCACCGAAGCACTGCCGTGACCCTCGGCAGTTCTGTCCAGCTATTCATCAGCCTCCTGCAGAAACGTCGTCCTGCTTTTGTGGTTTTGCCAGCATTTGCCTTTGATATAAAATACATTCTCTTGATATGAGACATATTCCCTTTTTCTAACACCTTGGTAACTGGCAGATGCCATTTCAAGACCGTTCAACGCTGACGGTTTCTTTACCATTGACCATTTCAACAGGGAAGCAAAAAGCAATTGGTTATTGGTAGCAAAACTGTATTTCTGGGTAGCAAGTAAAGCTGATGGCTTTATTCAGGAAAACATTCCCTTGAGATTAGTGCTGCCATTCACTTTTTAAAGGCTCTTTTAGATAAACAGTGTTTTAATAAATTTTAAGTAACCAAAGTTATGGGTTTTGTTTTTTTTTTTGGCAAAAGTAAATAAAGGGCATATTCTACCCCTGGGGGGGAAGTGCTGAGCCATTTTACTCAAATATGGCCATTAGGACCTCCTCTTATGCATCCAGGGTTTTTCAGGTTTGTTTATTTTTTGAAAGACATTTTCTTTTTTCTCCTGAATCCAGGTGTTTAACAGGCAGTCACAGCACTGACCTTATTTCTGCAACCATGGGAACTGCCCTGCTGGGTTGGTTTAACCTCTTCCAGTTTTACCTCAGGCTCAGATCCTTCCAGGAATGCCCATTTCATCCGAAAGGGAGCGAGGTGTTTAAGAAGCAACCACATCTGAGTATGGGCTCCTGAAGTCATCACAGTGAGGCTGTTCCCCATTGGAACTGCTTTCTTCCATCTGGCTCCCTACAGTCACTTGTCTGGAATGTGTGGACAGAAAAAAGTACAGCCATCAGGGATGTGTTTGGAAGAGAGGCAGTCTCAGTTTCAACAGGAAGTACATCAAAGTTTTAAGAAATAAAGAAGATGCTGCTTCTAACACAGAAGACACTGAATCCAGGATGAGAAAAGCTTTTGGACTTCAGCCCTCTCCATCCATCATAAGAACCATGTCCTTGTCTGGAAATGGAGTATGACCAACAGGAAAGGGGTGAGCTGAGGGTGGTATGAGGTGACTCCCCTCTCTCCCTCCAGCCCTTAATCTTGGTCCTTTAGTGGGCTTTTTAAAGAGGAAAGTAGGAACTTTGCTATGACTTGCTCTGTACCAAGGGTGAAGGGAACTGTCAGGGCTGCTTCTGGGAAAGAGAAGAGGGGTAAGAGCTTCCTGAGATTGTGAATGGGTGTCACTGGGGGCAAGAACAAGAGGGATGTGAGAGATTTGGGAAGGACTGCCTGATATTGGGGTTGGGAAAAAAGAAGACACAGCTCTAAGGGCTGGTGGGGAACTGACCAAGGAAATGGGACAGACCTGGAAAAGAACAGATAGCACTCAAGTAGCAGGAAATTTCCAGTGTACAAATAATAACAACTCAAAGATGTGTGGTTCTGCCAGAAAAAGAAGTTAGTGGTGGGGTAGAAGGGGTGATATGAGAACAGCAGAATGCACCTGCCTCCTCCTCCCTGAGCCCTCTTCCCAGCAGTTTCCCAGACTTCACCCTTGAAAAGTAAATAGCAGGGGAGTCCTGGCCTAGAAGCAGTAAGTTCTAGTTAACAGGGCTGAAGACAAGATCTCAACTACTACTGTATCCTTAGGCCTCAAAGGTTGGGAGGAAAATTACACTAGGAAGAAAAATGTAACCCAAAAGTGACAATGGAAAATTTTTGAAAAGCCTTATTAATGTTCTGGAGCCATCCTGGCTTCAGAAGGAAAAAAGAAGGCATCCTGGACTAAAAAACAGTGTTTTATTGGCTACACAAACCTAATAATCAAAATCTAAAAAGCAAGATAAAGCAAATGGTATGAAAAGGAAAGTGAAATATAAACTTTATAACCTCAAATTTATATTACTTGCAAATGAAAGCTTAAAATATCTGTGCCTGACAAGACTAACCCAACAGAGATTTTGCTTAATGGTAATTCAAAAAGCAGAAACAAAACCCCAAAGTCTCAGCAATAAGCCCAGCACAGGTTTGGGGGTTTCTTTTCTATGCTGCCAGTGTATTCTATTCATTTCTCTTCTCTCTGTTTGACAGAAGCAAAACGAAAAAACTCTTACCAAAACAGAACATTTTCTTTCCAGTCCGTTAAGTAGCTAAATACCATCAGCTAGCTATCCGTATTTTAAAAATCAGCCGGAAAACTTGCATCTCAGAGACCCAGGGACTGTCTGAGGAGAACTCTGGCAGGCTCTGTTAATCGTTAGCCATCCCTGGAACAGCAGGGAGGTTGGAGGAGGCTGGAAGAGTTCCAGAGTCCCAGTACTCAGAGTGAGCTGGTCAAGCCAGGTCACCCTAAGGCAGGGCTGTGATTGACCTCAGCCAAGACAAAAATCACAGAGATAAGATACAACTGAAATAGTGATTCAAAGGGCAGAAAAGGTAATTCCAGGCAGTGCAGGTCTAGAGAAAGCCAAGTACAGTGAAAAATGTCTGATGTCATTTTTTGAGGGACACATGCTTCGAAAGATAAAGGCAGCTTCATATCTGTGATCCCTGTGGGGTGATGAGGCACCACATCTAAACACCGAATGGAATTCCTTACTGCAGGAGGTCTGTCTGGAGCCAGCAGAGCTCGTGCTGCCAGTGAGCACAGGGGCCCTGGAGTGAACCTCTCTGAGAGCAAGAAACTGGGATGAGGGATGAGATACACAGGTCTTCCAACTCTGGTAACCCAACTTGTTTTGGTTTTTTTTTTTCCAACATTATGCTGTCTGGAGAGCCAGAAAATTTGGCTCGTGCATGGCTGCCAGGACTGCCTAGCCTCCAGTGAAATGCATGGGAGACCAGTGTACCTCTGGAGAGGTCCAGGAAGGATCTTGCCCTGTCCCCCTTCCACTGTGTCCAGCCTTAGCCAGGAACTGCCTCCAGCCACTAACCCTCACTTTTCTGCACCATTCTGGATGGTGAGAAACACCACTGAAGCAACTCTTAATACTGGCTCTGGATCCCAGCAGTGTCATCATCAGTTGCCTCGGCACACTAACGGGCTTGAAATCTCTGGTCCCATGCCCCAGAGCTTTTGTCTTACTTCTGTGAGATTATGTAATGGTGACAGAGGGGACTGGGACATGGATTGCACAACCTCCTCCCCTCTTGCATCTCAAACTCACCCATCAGACTTTTAGCACCAAATTCTTTGGTATTGCAGAGCAATGCGTGGTGCAATCAGATCACAGACTCAGGTCCAGGACCTCTCAGTGTCTCTAACCAAGGACTAAGCTGTGGCATAAGTAGATACAGGTCTTTTGGAAGACACTTTGACTTGTTTTCTGTGTGGATATGCAGGTTAAAACCAGCGGACTCTGCTGTGGAGGGTGGTGTGCCCTTGCCAAAAGAGGAGACCTTGGTGTTGCATAGCAGTGCAAGAGATGCCAAAATTGCATCAAAAGCAGGTGAGGGAGGGGATTCTCCCCTTCTGCTCCACCCAGGTGAGACCTCAGCTCCAGCTGTGGGGACCACAACACGAAAAAGGCATGGAGCTGCTGGAGACAGCCCAGAGGAGGCCAGGGAGGTGTTCCAAAGACTGGAGCAGCTCTGCTCTGGAGACAGGCTGGGAGAGCTGGGGGTTTCAGCCTGGAGAAGAGAAGGCTCCAGGGAGACCTTACAGCCCTTTCCAGTGCCTAAAGGGGCTCCAAGAGAGCTGGAGAGGGACTCTGGACAAGAGTCTGGAGGGATAGGACAAGGGGTAATGGCTTCCCACTGCCAGAGGGCAGGGTTAGATGGGATATTGGGAAGAAATTCCTCTGTGTGAGACTGGGGAGGCACAGGTTGCCCAGAGGAGCTGTAGCTGCCCCATCCCTGGAAGTTCAAGGCCATGTTGGATGGGGATTGGAGCAACCTGGGCTAGTGGGAGGTATCCCTGCCCATGGCAGGGGGGTGGGACTAGATAATCTTGAAGGTCCCTTCCCACCAAACCCATGCTGTGTTTCTGTGATCCTATGAAAACATAACTTTCAGGGACACCCCAGGGATCCAGCTGACCTGTGGTGGGGGTTTGCTCAACATTCCCTTCAAGCACAAGGTGCACTCGCAGGAACCACCTGCCTTGAAAGCCTCTAACCTGGCCCTGAGCAAGCTGGGAGAGCACACAGTACCCTGCACGTCCCTGGGAGTGACAGAGAGATGGATGAGAGCAGAAATGGTGAAGGTAAAAGTTCTCCAGCCTCGACCCGTGACGTGTGTATGTGTGTGTTTGTTGGGGGAATGTATCAGAATTATCACAGGAAAAGAGACAGGAGGCTTCCATACAGATATTGGATGATTGTCATGCCAAGGGTAAGGGGTGGATGACATAACAAAGAGGATGACATGGGAGGCTGGTGGAAGTTTACAGAATGATTTCTTCCAGACACCCTGTTTGGTTTCGTTGCTGGAATTGGGAAAAGAGTAATTGAAGTGGGGCTTAAAAATCAAATGAAACTCAATCAAAAGGGGCAAGTTCTCTGTGTGTGTGTGTGTGTGTGAGTGTTGAATACTTCCCTCAGTCCTAAAATTGTTTTCTTACAGTATGTTTCAAACTTAGAAAAATTAAAAGTCTAAGTCTCATCCTATAGTGCTTTTCATCCTATAGTGCTTTTCATTAATAATTCCTGGGCACTCCACAAAACGTTCCTAGACCTGCCTTGTTCACAATAGTTCTTTTGAAAGCCAAAATTGAACATACCAAGGATAAACATGGAAATTTTTAAGCCAAGTATGTCACTCAGTAAGACAATGAAAAAGTGAAAAAATCTTAAAAATCAATACTTTAAGTCTCCCAAACACTCTGAGATTTTCATGTGTACAGAATCTCCTGCCAGTTTTTTAGGAATAGTAAATTATTGGGAACATAGCTCCACTGTCCTGCAATTTTATTTCCATGTTTCTTGTGTTGTAAGCCTGCCTCCTGCTTTGTGGTTTAGTTGGGTAAGCTGCCTTTTGTATTAGTGGTGCTCCTTGAGAAACCAGAGGATTTGAGCTGTGTTATGTCACCTGCAAACCTCATTAGTCCCTTTTATCCAGGTGATTTATGCAAACAGTGAATGGCTGCAGGTCGAAAGACACCCTAATCAAATAACTACATGAAGAGTGTCATCTCTGTGCAGTTACAAATGTTGTATGGAACTGCTGGGCCACTCAAGGGAGTGAATGTCTCACCCAGGTTATTTTATCCCACTGATCTGCACTTACTTTATGTCTGGCTGTACTTACTTTACTGGAGTCGATCCAGAGCGGGACATACACAGTAAAATAAGGAAAAGCAACATCACGAAGGCAGCAAGTCCGACCCAAAAGGCGATGACGATGGAGTCTGTGGACGCAACACAATAATCCTGTCAGCAGTACCACAGGAAATATAAAACACAGCAATATAACTGATGGTCTCTAATAAAGGTGTGTCACTTGACTGATTCGGTTTCTCCTTTCAGGGAGAGGCACCTGAGTGCCAATTTGTTAAAGGTCTTGAGAGCCTCCTAACAGTTCACTGTAACAGGGCAAGGCCAGGGCTGAGAGATGCCTTGGGAAAAAACATCCAGTGAGTATGCTGGTGGCTACAGCCGTGCAGATATTTGGGTATGGTTCCTTTTACATAGTCACAGTGCAGGATGCAGTGTAGGGCTCAAGCCTGAGCTGCTACTGCCAAATCCTGATTTTAGGGGGAAAAGTACAACCCAGGATCTTTAGAGTGATGCCCTCAGGGAGGGAATTCCAGCCTTGAAAGCATTTTATACCAAGAGAAATACTAATGAAAGCTTGTTGAAAAGTGTCTGTGACCCTCACAGCACATCAGTGCAGAGGAAGAGAATGTGACCCTTGCCCTGTTCAGCTGCAGTGCTTCTGTAATCATCATAAAATAGTGCAAAAGGCTGCTTGCTTTATTAGGACCAAGTGGTTTCTTCAGGGAACAAGTTAAAGGATTCCCAATGCCAAAGTATGTGTTCAGAACTGGGAAATGGGAGGATGAGGTGGCTGGAGGAGCAAAGGAAGCTGCTTTTTAATGAAGGCTGCAGTGCTGTGTAAAGTACTGCCTGAGCCACGGGCTGGCTGAGAGATGGGATGAATCTACTCCTACCCTAGGAGCACATTTGGTCACTGTTTCAAAAATGCTGCTTCCTGGGATCAGGGGGTGGTGGCCAGTGCCCAGGTTAAAGCCTCGGGAAGGTTGGGTGCTCTGCCCTGAAGTCACAGCGGGCGACTCACTTCGACTGGGGTGAAAAGGAAGGGTCACTGACTCCAGAGACAAATATTGACCAGACAAAATAAATCTTTCCTCTGAAAGGACAGAAAACACTGTGTTCTTTGATACAGGTCCAGTTATGTTTGATTGGGTGTTTCTTTGTGAAGAAGTTCACAAGAGCTACAATGAGATTAAGGGAATTAGCCCAGCTCGTTTAAACCTCAAACTAGGGCTGGCCCAGCTGTATCCTTATCCGAAAGCTGAGTTTTGGCTGGGCTACTGAGAAATATCAATGTGGAGGGGCAGCTTATTTTATTCTTCCTCTGTTAAACAAAGTTTTAATGACCTTTAATTCAGAGAACGTTAAATTAGCAGGTGAAGGCCAATATTCTGCCATGCTCTTCACCAATTTACTATGGAAAAAAGCAAGGGGGTGATAGTGGCCAACCACAGCTCCTCAAGGGAGAATTAGGGGACTTTTGGTAAAAAAAAAAAAAAAAAATCTAAAAAGCAAGGTCATGGCCCAGGGATGTATTGAAAAGCCCAAAGATTTGAAGTGTTCAAAGCCACTGAGACAGAATTGAAGAGTTTGGGTTTATAGAATTCTGTATCAGAACTATTTCAGTTCCTTTTTTTAAAAAGCAGATTTAATATGTTACATGGAACTCACTGAAGTTAAATAAATTTATTCTAGGTCTCAAGGGGAGTTTGAACCAAAACTTCCTGGTTTTAAGTTCTGCAATTAGGTATTTCTTTTTAAAAAATGGAATAACGTATTTTATTTTAACAATCAACAAAAAGCTTTCCTATTGCTAAATTTTACCATCACCTTTGTGTGTGTGTGTGCATGTTTTTAAGTAGCCTATTAGCTCATGGGCCAATTGAGCTTTTTAATTCTTTTTATACAAAATGGAGAGAGCTGCACAATGTTATTAAAAGAAAACAAGACCACGATTTTACAGCTGGATTTAGATGCATTTTCATGGAACAAACACAGTCTCACAAAGCTTCAGGGACCAGCCACGTAATGGAGGAAAGGAAGTGCAGAGATTCAGGTCTCTGTTTTACATTAAATAAAAACAACCAATGGGCAAAATTGAATTAGGGAGCTCCAATCCCATCCCAGGGGTTTTGGCAACTGCACGATTCACTTGGGCTGCCCCAGCAACGCCCCCGGACAAACACTCAGGCCCCACTGCAGCCATTCAGCTGAGACCCTCTGGAACATCAGGATTTTACTGCAATCCTGGAGGTATCCTAAATTTTTACAGTTTCGGAATGCTTGTTGCCATCTGAGCAGAAATGACCACATTTCATCCTCAGAGCAAAAGGCAAGGACTTGCGGAACTTAATCCACCTACACGTCCCAAGAACATGAAGACAATAATCCCACCTGTGGCTTCTGGATGTAAATATTCTGCAAACACAGGAAAACCCACAAAGTGCTTTTACTCCAGTTAAAAACTAACCAGCTGTGGGGTTGTTTCCCTTGTTGTTTTCTTTTTAACTTGTAACCCACTGTTCTCACAGGGGTATTTGGAGAAGGAAGAATAGTACCGAGAGGACTCAGACTCCGTTCCTCCTGCACTGCTGACATGGCAAAATGTCGGTTTTCATCTCCCTAGATTATAAAAACTCCTGAAAAGTGGCAGACTTCTTAGCTTCTTTAGGGAGAGAAAATAAGTGGGGAAAAAAAAACAGTAAGAGATTTACCCTGCTTTTAATGCAAATAAGGATGATAAGATCACTCATAAGCACATGGGGTAATTTCTTCCACAAAACTATCAACAAATATAAATTAAACAGAGGATGAACATCTTGTCTCAGAAGCACAATTTCTATAAATTTCAAGAAAACAGGCAGCTGAGTAGAGAGGAACACCCAGGGAGGGAAGCGCTGTAACGCAAATGCCACCTTCATTATATACCAGGCAACCCAAACGGTAGAAAAATGTTATTAAGGAGAAGGAAAAAGTGGAAAGCTCAGATTCCTGATCTTTGGTGCAGTTTGGGGTTTCCCTGGTGAAATTTGGGGGTAATTATCTGCCCTAATTTTAAAATTAAGAGAATTAGAGAAACTACTCATAGCCTGCCTGGTCCCAGCAGAACCAAATGTGGCTCTGCAGCATTACAGAGCAAGATTTTCTGTGTGGAAGGATGTGGATATTTACACCTTCTGTAAGGTGTGGTGCTCAATAAACCCTCGGCCAGAAAAGCTTTCCTAGAGGCAGTGCAGAGTAAGTTTCTGCTCCCTTTCCCTATTCTTGCTCTCCAAGCAAGCGAAGTAGAAGCAGCTCCTAACATGGGCCAGTTCAGTCTTCACTGTCAGAAAGGCAGTTTCTTGTGCTATTAATTACAGAGACATGAAAGTAGTCTGAAAGACCATCACATTTTCCTTACAGACCAGATCACTGTAATCAAACCTAGGGGAAAGCAATTTTAGTCTCTGGAACCACATCTGGACAGTTACAGCTGTCTTCAGTAAATTAAACAGCAACAGATAAACCCCTTAACTTTGTCACTTAACTGAGGACACAACCACAGGCAGAGCCTTGGCAGAAATTGAGGGAAAGCACTGCCTGGAGCCGAAGTGACTCAAACATGCCTCCCACTCTCCCTTGATCTCTCAATCCCTCCACTGCACTCAGCTCATCCCTCAGAACAAAGCCTGTCACTTCATCTCAGCAAAACTGAACCAATGGAGTTACATTAGAAAAGAAAAAACAAAATTATTTGCCACTTTAAGTGGATAAGTAAGGACCATAAAACGATGTTGCGATTTCATTGTGCAAAACTAAGTGTGAGCTCCAGCAAAGCGAATGGGGTGAATACTATTTCTTATCATATCCTTTGAAAATAAACTGCAAAACACAGCAGAACCAGCTTCCACAGCAGGACAGCATTTTCACAATAATGTATAATGTTACTTTATTCATTCAGCAGCACTAAATCAAAGGAGGAAAGGCAAAAGAACAGCTTTTGTTCCTGGCTAGTGGAAACATAACGTTTCTTTTACTAAGGCTCTGAACGTTTGTGAGTCACAATGTAAACCTGAGGTCGCAAGACAAAAACACAGAAGTTTCATGAAAATCTCTGCTCACTCAGTCGACTTTGCTGACAGTAGGGTACAGGTAGCTAACATCCCAAATTACAGATCTGCAAGTCATCGGATTTCCCTTGAGCAAACAACTTCAAAAAAATCTGTCCTTCCAAACAAGGGTTAGTATCAGCAGTCTTGGAGTTTCAAATGACTGGAAGATAAAGCACAGAGTTTCAGTGTTAGTAATCAAGCAGTCTGAAGGCAGACACCCATCTATACTCACCATGCCCCGGCGTGGGCTCTATTGCAAGGAAACAAAACCAGGTCAGTCAGACAAGCTATGCAACATTTCGCCTGTACTAGATTAGCACCTACTACTCTACAATACTTACATTTGTTAACCTCCAACTTGCTTCCATCTACTGGAATTGGATCTATGTAATCCCAATAATATTCATAAGCCCAGAAATACTCAGAGGAGTTTGTTCTGTTAGCCATGCCAGCAGTGCATTTTAAGCTAGCTCAGAGCTCCAACCTAATACTTTGCTTCATTGTACTTCAGTGCCCTCAGAAAGCGAATTGCATAACTGATGCCTGTGTCAATCACTCAGGGGTCTCACAGCTCAAGGACTGCTTTGGGACTGAAAACATCCAGTGGCAATGACCATTAATGTCTGGCAGAGATGTAACAGCAGCCCTTAAAATGCAGTCCTCCCTTCCTGGCGGACAATTATGTTATTCCTCATCACATATTAAACTGAGATGGATGTCAAGTAACCCAAGATTGGGATGGATAAGTGCCATCTAGGTCACAAACCCTTCCCTCTCAGCCTGTCGCAGCAGGGCACTGCTCCTGAGAGCTCCTGAGCACAGCTGGGCTGAAGGACATTCCTGAATTTATCTGTAGGTAAAGAACTGGAGTCTAGAGTGACAGGATCCAAGGGAATGGCTCGAGCTGTGTCGGGGACGATTAGTCTGGATATTAGAAAAAGGTTCTTCCCCCAGAGGGTGGTCGGGCACTGGACTGTGGGTAGTGGTCCCCAGGCTCCCCAGGGCAGTGGTCACGGCCCCAAGGCTGCCAGAGCTCAAGGAGACAACGCTCTCAGGCACATGGTGGGATTGTTGGGGTGTCCTGTGCAGGGCCAGGAGTTGGACTGGATGATCCTCGTGAGTCCCTTTCAACTCAGGATAATTCTATGAACTAGGTGCGACTTGATAAAACGCTTCATAAACAAATGTTGTGTTGGAGTAACCATATATTTTTGCTCGGTTTCGACGACCTCAAACCGCACTCTCTTTCTAGAGGACACGAAAACCGCCCGGGCACGGGAGCGGGGGCGGTACCCGGTGATGTGGGCGGTGCGGGGCGGTCCCGGGGATGATGTGGGCGGTGCGGGGCGGTCCCGGGGATGATGAGGGCGGTGCGGGGCGGTCCCGGGGATGATGTGGGCGGTGCGGGGCGGTCCCGGGGATGATGTGGGCGGTGCGGGGCGGTCCCGGGGATGATGTGGGCGGTGCGGGGCGGTCCCGGGGATGATGCTGGCGGTGCGGGCGGCCCGTGCTTCCCGAGCGGCGTCACTGCCGGTTCCTGCGCGGGCGATTTGAAGGCCGTGAGGGCGTCACTGCCGCTTCCTCCGCTCGGGGCGGGCCGGGTCGGGTCGGGGGCCATGGCGGGCGCGCTGTTCCCGCCGGCCGAGCTGGCGGCGGAGCTGGAGTGCTCCATGTCGCTGCTGGAGGTGCGCGCCGGGGGCAGCGCGGAGCAGCAGCAGCAGCAGCAGCAGCAGCAGCAGTCGCCGCAGCCGTGGGGGGCGGGCGCGGAGGGCTCGTACAGCGCGGAGCTGCTGCCCATGGTGTTCCTGTGCGCCGGCTGCAAGCGGCCGGTGGGTGACACGCTGAGCTGGGTGTCCAACGACGAGGAGGGCGGCTGCATCCTGCTCCGCAGTGAGTCCCGGCCCCGCCGCCCCGCCGGGTCCCCTCCCCGCGGGTCCCCTCGCCGCATCCCTCCCTTTCTCCCTTCCTCTGTGCAGGCGCGGCCGCCGGCGTCTCGGTGGACCACAAGAGGAAGCTCTCCAAGCTGCCCGACGAGTGCGGATGGTGAGACAGTGATGGGGGGGTCCCCGCCTGGGCACTGCCCTCCCTGTCCTGGGAGAACCGGGAGGTGCCGGGGAGGGCGCTGAGGACAAGCCCGGTAAAACAGGAGTGTCCGTGTGCCCCCGGGGAGCCTCTGGAACAATTATTTCGGGTGGTCTGTGCAAGGTGCTCGTGGATTAGGTCTGTGCAATGTGCTTAGGGAGAGGGACTTCCCTCAAGGGCACGTAGTGATAGGAGAAGGGAATGGCCTCAAGCTGAAAGAAGGCAGATTTAGATTAGACAATTAGTATTCTGAAAATCCAGGTGTTGGGAAACACATAAATAGCCAGGAGACAGAGAAGCTAACTAAAAAAAAACCCAACTTTTATTCGAATAAAAGAGGGAGTTCACTGAACAAACCTCAGTGAGGTCTCTCAACGTGGCAGGGAACACAGCCCCCCTTTTATCCTATCATCTCACCCAAAAGGCAGGTCCCTCCCTGTTTCTCCATTGCCGAGCCACTCCGGGGTACATTGTATCAAACTGTACCTTCCATATGGAGTTGTCACTTCAAAGCTGGAGGAGGGGTTCCATGTAGCTGACTGATTCTCTTATTCCTAAGCAAACTACACAGGCGAACTACACAGGCTGCATAACCAGTACCTTTCCACTCTCTTACTAAACCAGTTATGACTGTTACAAGTTTTGCAAGAACACTCTGTTTATTCCTCATATTAGGAAGAAATTCTTCCCTGTGAGGTTGCCGAGGCCCTGGCACAGGTTGCCCAGAGAAACTGTGGCTGCCCTATCCCTGGAAGTGTTCAAGGCCAGGCTGGAGAGAGTTTGCAGGAATCTGGTCTAGTGGAAGGTGTCCCTGCCGTGGCAGGGGGTGGGAGTGGATGAGCTTTAAGGTCCCTTCCATCCCAAACCCTTCTGCCATTCAGTGGTTCTATTAGTCTTGCTGAGGAGTCCAGCCTAAGGAGCCACTGGGAATGCAGGCTGAAAGATGTGCCCATAATTACACCGTGTAAAGCTCTAAAAAATCGTAAAGCATGAATTTTTTTTTAGAACAGTGATGGAGAGAGGTGCTTCCTTTTATTTTCTCCTGAATAAATGTTACATGTCTTGCTTACAGTGTGGTAGAAACCTTGTTCTGTTCTGGCTGCTCGAGGACACTTGGAAGCATCTACAGGTGCACCCCAAAGCATCTCGACTACAAGAGGGGTTTGTTCTGTTTCAGCATTGATTCTATTGAAAGGTACATGCAGAATGTTTATGGGGAAGCCTGAAAAACCCATTTCACCCACCCAGCATCTCACTGAGGGATGCTGCTGTTATATCTGTGGCATATCCAGACACAGCTGTCTGTGCTGCTCTGTTCCAGAGTGTTTTTCTGTATTACTGCTGTTGGCATCATAATGCTCAAGAGTGAGAAACATCACCTTGTGTAAGACAAATCCTAGAAAAAAAATGCAATACCAGGGCTGCCTTTTGTGTAAGAAATTGCATACCAGCCATTGCACACCATATAAAAAAATAACACTAGGTACACAGCACAAGAGAGTTCCTTCCCCTTTGATCAGAAGAGAGTATGCAAAACAAGCCTGCAGTCATGGGCAGCACCAAGTAGGCCTGCCTATTAGCTGTTAGAGGTTAGCATGGGCAGCAGGAAATGTGGGCAGAGGGCTTTAGGCACAGCTTGGTGTGGGGTCTAACCTGCACTGGCCAAGTCTGCTCCATCCTTGCTAAGGTGGGCAAAGTATGTGCTTGAGACTCCCACTTAAAAACTGTCCAGAAAAAAAACTAAGGTGTGCTTGGGTTCAGTTGGTTTATAGCACTTTAAAGTGGTCTTAAAATATTCTTCAGTAACTATATCCTGAACTAAGGCTCCATGCCAGAGTTCTTTTATGCAAGCATATGCTCTAGTAAACAGGGATTGTTTCTCTCTGGGCTGGCTTCCATGTTTCTGGTTTTTTGTTAAGTTCCCATTTATTCTGCTGCATTGATGTGGCTGTTCACCCTCTTACTCTGGACAGTTGTTTCAGGTTTTTTGCCTTCATTCCGCAGCTATGATTCTTTGTTTTTCCCACGGCAGGAAAATTCTCTGAAGCACTAACCTGGCCACAAAATGGCATTTTCTCGGGCAGTGATGGTGGTGGCTGCTTCTTCCAGCCAGCGCTGCCCCATTCTCCGTGTCTGTGTGATTTTTTGCTGTATCCTGAAGCCCCAGAACTCATGACTCTCTCTTGGGGTTCTGGAGCAGCACTACCTTTGGCTTTTTGCCTTCAGAGTGAGAAGCTCATGCTCTAAACTCTGGCATTTCAGCTATATTCTGGGATCCTCAGAAAAGCAAGCTCTTACTGATGAGGAGCCACTGACTCTTGAAAGTCGAGCTGTCTTGCAAGAGGTGCTGCAAAGGGTAAGATTTAACCTTATATCATTCTTTGTTTAAATCACCTCTGTGAAATCTTAATATCCTTCAATAGCTTCTACAAAACAGCTTATTTCATCCAGAGCAATTCTGTGGGCTATGACATCTGTTGTACTGCCTCATGCCATGAGTATCCTGTGTTATGCCAGATTTTCAGTAACTTTTCCTTTAATTTTCATGTTAATTAGCAGTTTCTGTTGATCGTGCACAGCATTAGATTCCTGTTTATGTCTCAGGAATTTGATATTTCATTCCTGATTAGTTCTGATTCACTTCTCCAGATCTTCACTAAACTTACAGTCGTGCCTCTTTTGCCTTTTGTGCAAACAGACCGAATGCTTTTTGCTGTAACTTTGTACTGAAATGTTACATCATAAATCAAGTTGATGTTTTACTCTGCTGAAGACTTGTGACTGCAGTTAGGGAAGGTTGGGAGCAAATAGCATAAGGAAGCTGACTGTGGAAGCTGATGGCTGTTCCAGCAAAAGGTGAGCGTGTGGCTCTGACACCAAGGCTGGAAGAAGTTATGGAGTGTGGAGAGTGAACGTTAGAGTCAAGTGAGCTTTCGAACTATGAAAGTAACAGGAATAAAATCAAAAAGGATTGGTAACGAGATCAGATTTGAGCCCTTTCTGACATCTACACTTGCTCTTAGTATTGTGAAATTCCGCTTATAACCAAGTCCCTCTCCCTGGTTGTTTTGCAGGCACACACTATATTAAAAGCTCTGGAGACAAGACTGACAGCTATCGAGTCGTGTGTGACTCCTCTGCCCAAGAAAGTCTGAAAGAAATTTAACTGCTGAAGATTGGAGAACTTTTGTGAAACTTTTCCTTGTAATCTTCTGGGATCTGTGGAAACATTGCAAAAGCTGTCAGGGAGCTGAAAGAGTGGCTCATGCTGTAGTAGAACAGTGCTGAGTCTGCATCCTGGCCCTCCTAGCCAACCTCTTCTTTCTCTTAAAAGGATACTCCAGATAGAAATAGGTTGTTGGGTTGTTTTTTTTTTTTAACAAGACTTCTGATAAATCAGTCTGTAGACTTCTGGTTTAATGTAAATATTTATTTAAATGTTTCTCTCTGAAAGCAGAGAATTTACCTCCTGGATTCCCTGATATTCAATATCTAGTGAACTGGGCGTGCATTTTCCTAAACCAATGCAAAACCTCCCTGTGATGCTGTGATGTCTGAAGGAACAACATTAAGTCACTTTCCTTTGTCTTGTCTCCACAGCCTTTGCTCAACTCATGCTCAGAGGACAGGAATGGGCCAAACCTGTGGTTTGGTGGTTTGTTAGTTTGATGGGGTTTTTTTACAAGTTCAAGGCAAAAATGTGACATGAATAAAGGCTTTAAGAGCATTAGATAAAATGGCTTTTCTATACTGTAATGCTCCAGTTTTAAAGCTTTACGCTTAACTGGAAATATATATTTAAGAATTTTAAGTTTGCTTACTAAATTTTCGAAAAACTTTTAGTGTGTTATTGCTTTGAAGTCACGTCTGGAGAAAACGTTGCTACGCTTTCTCTAAGAGAATTTATTTTAATTTAGCGAGAAAATAAGACATTTTGGCAAAAGGTTTTACAGGGATAACATAAGTAGAAGTATTTCACCAAAATACCCAGCACACAGATCCAGTTCACAAAAGCATCCACCACAAAACAATCAGTACACCATCTTAGTAAAACACAGCTCGTTGGTTTTAAGTTACCCACCAAAGAAAGGAATAAAGGAAGAAAAGAAAGAAGTAAGAAATAGGAGAGAGGAAGGAGAGGAAAAATAGTTACCACCATGATCTGATGGCTCACGTGGTGGCAACCAGACGACAAAAGCTCACTTGGCGTCTCGTGCTCCCACATTTATATAGTTTGGTCCTGCCTCCCAGGTGGGATATCCAGGCATTGACCACTCAGTGCCTTCCAGGCTGGAGTCAGGTGTGGTGCAGCCACTCACAGGCTCCAGGGGTGTGGTGTGGGTGACCTACCAGGCAGGTCTGCCTGACTGACCCCAGCTCTTGGGGCTGCCACGTGCGCTCCATGGGCTCAGCCGTGTTGGCTGCAACCCTTGTCAAGTGCCTTGAGGCTCTGCCACGTGCTCTCTGTGGGCAGGCCTTACCCTGTACCTGCAGGGCCAGCCACACACTTAAGTGGGTTTATTCTGACCCCCATGGGTGTATAATTCAGTGAGATTCAAACTCGGTGTCTCACACGAGCAGTATTGAAGGTCAGATGTTTTAAGTTTCAAAAGGAGGAAAAGAAGGCTGGTGGCAGCACCCCTTTAGGCAAAACTTGGTATGTATTTAAGCAATGAATTCAAAATGCTAATTAGGAACATGTGCCAACAATTTTTTTTGTTCTATTGCAGATACTTCAGTTATTTGTCTTTGGTCTTTTATGCATTTGACTAATTGTCAGTGTTTCTTGTACAGTATGAGTGTTCCACCTAATGTTTTTCAATAAAAGCAAACAGCTGTAGTCTAAAGCAAGAATAACTTCAAAAAGTGGGAATTTTTTACTACCAAACACTACTTAATTTTACTAGTGAGGTTTTACGTTTTCTTCAAAAACTCAGAATTAATTTCCCCATTCTGCTCCACTGGCTGTTTCTCTTAAAAAAGCTTCTACTCTCCACCTTCACTTGCTTTATTTTGAAGTGGTGTTCAAGTTTAGCCTGTAGTGATGGGTCTCATAGTCTTTTATGCTTAGGTAACTAAAAGATTTTGCTACTGACTTACCTGCTAGAGGAGCTTATGTTACTCCAGTGTAATTTTTGAGGCAATTTCTGCTCTTACAAGTTTTTGAATGCTGGTCAACAGCAATATACCTGGGTGTCTGAAGAGAGCCATGGATTGCCCTTTAATTGAAGGTTGGTTGATGTTAGAGGCTGAATAACCCAACGTTTATCAAGCTGGAGGTGGTGTCTAGTGGGTTCTTGTCATTGTTCAACTCTGAGATGTGGCAATCTCCATTGGCTTGGTCTGTTCTTTTGGTTTGGCCATATCCTGAGTCACCCTGGTATCAGGCGTTTTACTCTCGTCTTGCACAAACTTGCATGCAAAGCCCAAAGAGCAAGATATCTGCAGCATCTAAAGAGGATTTAAACTTCCCAGCAGCAATTCTAATGGACTAAAAGGGAAAACGGATGAAGGGTTGGGAAAACATACGCCCCTGTATTTCTCCACAAGGATAGGTGCCATTATCCTTAAATCCCCAGAGGAAACAGCTTAAGCTAGAGCAGGAGTGCAGCCTTGAGGACACATTCCAGATGAGACTCACAGGTATTCAATGTGCAGTGTCATATACCCAACATATGAACTCAAAAGCAGTTATCAATACTTGAGTCTTATAATTTGAGCTGAAGAAAACAGCCAGGCCACTTGGCATGGTTATGTGCCATGGTTACGTGCCAAAGAAAAGCAGCTAACTCAGGCTGCATGGTGCCTAGGGGCTCCCAAATCAATACACAGATGGATTACACAAGAGCTGTTACCCTTTTTTCACCTTTCCCCTCGTCGAGCCCCATGTTGGGCCCCAATAAATGTCTCAGTTTAATGAGACAGAAATGTTTGCCTTAGGAGAGCGGGATAGGAGAAAAACCAAGCTCTTCCTTCTGAGTTAGCTGTAACTTCGAAATTAAGAGGCTCCAGTCGAAAAGGTGTGGAAAAGAAAATAACAACTCTTTAGTAAAGAATATGTGTAGATAGATAGATAGATAGATAGGTAACACCCCAAACCAAGCAGCAGTCCCGTAACCAAACTCCCACCGAAAACAAGGAGGCGCTTTTGGCCCTTGGGCGCAGTTACAGCCACGCCGAGCAGGGGGCGCTGCTGGGCCCCAGGAAATGCCGGTTTTTGGGAACAAGGGAGCGGTTCCCGAATTCCAGAGGAGCCCGCGTGGCCAAGGGCGGGTCTCAGCCGCGCCAGCTGGGCTGAGAACCCAGGGTGAGCCCCCCACAAGGACTATCTTGCTGAATCCCCCCCGCAGGCAGCGCCAGCCCCGCGCAGTCCGCGCCGCGCCCGGGGCTGCGGTGGCGGCACTGGGAAGGGATGGAGGGCCCGTCTGTCCAGCGAAAAACGGGGAGACCGCAGGACGAATGGGAACTCTTTTGGTCCTCAGCAGCTCCGAAGAGGTGTCCAGGCACGGGGCAGAGGTGAAAAACCCGGGACTTCCCTCGGGGCTCAAAGAAGCCAAAAATGGCCCGGCCAAAAAGATGAACCCCAAAACCAAGCACCTCCCAGCCAGAAACTGCCAGCCCTTGTTTCCCTTCTGGCTGCTGCTGCTTCAGCTAAAGTTATAGAGTACAAAAATCTACCTTCTCTCCCTGCCTCGGGTAAAGGAAAACAAAAGTCCTGCTTCTTGCAGAGAAAAGTCATTAGTGTTTCAATGGGACAATCCAAGCCAGGCGAACAATGAAGCCTGAACTTACCCCATCCTACACAGGCTCTAGGTGTGGGACATTCACCATGAGCTAAAAAACCAACAAACCACAAAACAACAAAACAACTCAACCAAAAAAAACCCCCCAAAAACAAAAACAACCCGAAACCCTCCCTATAACAGAGTGCCTAGAATTTCACAATTAGAAGGAGTAGGTCAGCAAAAGCTTTCTCTCTTGGCACACTTCTTTTTTTGAGCTGTAGCAGAAAACTGCTCAGCTTCAATCTAGGCTGTGAGATTGAGAGTTTGGACGGTAGGAATAGGTGAGAAGTGCAGTGCAGCCATGAGCTGGTTTCTGGGAAAGAGTAAAATCAGCTGTGAGTTTTTCTTCTTGGACATTTGGCGTGGGCTCAGCTGCTGGACTCTTTATGGTTAGCAAGTGAGATCCGTGAGAGTGGAAGAGTAGGTGGCAGTCAACCTGTGGGAGGAGGAAAGAACTGTAATTTTCTACCAGGAGATCACCAACACAATGTGGTTCCACGTCCAAAATGGATTACTTCTAGGGATTTCTCCCAGAAAAAAAATGTGCCAGGACAGTATGGTTAACACCTGCCATGGACAGCCTATTATCTGCCCCTGAAACACTGGGCCTACCCCCTTTACTTCCTGTGGGAAAGAACTGTTATTTCTTTTCAGGAGACCACCACCGAAATTTGGAGTCCAATTGAATACATCCAAGGACTGCTTCCAGACAAAAGGAAAGACACTTCTCCAACAGCAGCCATCACCTGGGAAGGGTTCTATCTAACCACAGGAGACACCATACCTTAGACAACCATAATGATGAATTCTAGAAGTAAAAGCATACGGCTTCCAACATATTGTATCTCATTTGAAGTGCAATCCAGCCCAGCTCGTGATTATCAAGTACCAAGAATGCCTGACAGGAGAGCAAGCCCTGGGCAAGGACCAAAACACAAATGTTTTTGTTAGGTGAGGCTTTCATAATCCCTCACCCTGCGTGCTTTCTCTGCTGTCTACTAAAAAGCATGGGTGTGCCACCCTCTTGTTCAGTAGAGGTAATAAGGTCTTTTAATTATTCCTGTTCTTGGTTTTGGTTAAAAAAGCCCACAAAGGTGGCTGGGGTAAGCATCATTGAGACATTCACCTTCCCCATCAATTGGGCTTGGACTTACACGTTCATCAGCTTTTTGGGATGACACCTGAACATACACGAGTTAGCAAAGTTTTCTGGTTTTATGGGTGAGCAGGACCGATTTATTTCAGAGCCCACAGGAGTCTGAAAATTTTATGTAACTCTTAGCACTCCTACATTCACAGCGTACAGTTGTCAGTGATATTCCCCAAACTTCCATGATCCACTATTAACCCAGATCTGGGGAGTCTGCGACTTCTGCTGCCTTTTATCCCTGTACCTGTCCCCTGCTTTTTGCCCACTACTTTTGTTATGAATGCCTTCTTTATGAAAAAGCCTTTGTTATTTACACATAGTTTCTAGTTGATTATCCTGTATTCAAGTGAATGTTATATATAAGGTATATATGAGTAGTAAAAATTACAATGAGCAATTATGTAATTATACCAATAGTGTTGTAACATCTGCATTTAAACAGATGCCTCACACGCTGATTCAATACACCATTTATCACTGCTACCTAAAAGTATCTAATATGCCTGTATGACTTCAAGGGATCCTTTACTAAAGCATAATAAAGTGCATCTTTAACAAGAGTCAGAGTGACAGGAATGCAAACTCAGAGCCAGTAAGGGCTGTCCACTGAAAATATTTCTTACTTCCTAGATCATTACCTGAGAAAGTCCCGAATGCTGACAGGCTTACGCGAAATGGATCTTCTGACTGGGCTGAGAAAGAAAATTGCAATATGGTTTAGAACGTTGACTATCATCACCAAATGCATTTAAACAAAATCATGCCAGTTCACCCAGGAGCTTGAGACTTACAGCCTTCAAGTTAATGAAGTCAAATATATATTTTGATTAGTAAGTGTTTTGTTTCTTCCCAAGTCTTTCTCATCCATCTCCCCTTCTCTTTCACAGTAAATACAAAACAGTAGATTGTAAAAACTATGACACCTTGTTAAAATATCATACCAAATTCTTACTAGAGTATTATCATGTATCAAGAAAGCCTTAAATGTTATATCTGAAGTTCACAAAATATACTGAATTGTACTGTAATATTATTCGCACTCATTACTTATTTGATAACAATTTTTAGTTGTGTTTTTTTTTATATTTTAGATTCTGACCTTGACTTTGCTATTCATATTCATCAGATTTTCCACATGACAAATTTGCTCAGCAGTAGGATGAGAAAAATATTCCATGCATTTGGGAATATTAAAATAAAAAAAAAATGTATTACTGAGGAAACATCCTCAGTAGTTTAAAAGATACCAAACTTTGACACACTTACCTTTCTGGATTAGTAAGAAATGTCAGCTTCATCTGAAGAATCCTAAGCTAGTATTTTGGGCCTATAAAACTTATAAACTATACAAAGACTACTTTGCTACCATTTTCAGAAACGTTTATGAATAATGCACCAGTGGAGATTTTCACAGCAGAAGATGCATACAAAATAGAAAAGCCTTTGTAGAAAGGATAGTGGTTTTTATTGTAGTCTTAGAAAATACTGAATTATGAAAGATACAAAATCAACTGTTGTAATTATCTGTTTATTTTACAATCTGTATGCCATCATACCTTTATGGTTTTAAGATAGTCTGTTCAAAGTATTTTAAAACATGCTTTAGCAAAGTACTTTACAATTTCAAAATCAAATATTTCTTTACTGGAAGAAAAAAATAAAACCAAACTCCAAAAACATTTTCCTGAGAATTCTGTATCATAAAATTGTCATTCATTCTTAACTTTTGCAAGTTGATGACATATAGGCTATAGAAGTCAACATGCAACTTGTAGGTCTACAGTATTAAATAAATATTTTAAAAACTACTTAGATGTAGCTGGTCAGGCAAAACCCTTACCCTCACAATCAAGGTCATTACAGGTTTAAAAACACGATGTTAATTTTATCACAGGTCAATGACAGTGATGATTTCTGCACTGGAATCCCTCCACCATTAGCTGTGTGGAATTCAGACTGTGGCTGATCACCAGCACTGGAGCACAAGCCTCTAGTGGATATTCCAGCCTTTAACTTGGTAATCGCTGACCTTGTTTTCCAGCATCTACAGCCAAGTGTGTCAGGGGTTTGGGCCACTGGATAAGCTCCCAGCCAGCCACTGCCTACATATGCGCTCCACCCGTTTATTAACAAGCATTTACCCCAAGGAATTCCATTTTGAAGTATGTGTACTATTGGGACAATGCCATTGTCCATGTCATTTCAGAGTATCACCAGCTTTAACAACAGTGACAGTAGTTATGAACAGTAGAGAGAGGTTTGGGGCTTTCCATTTTGTTTTTTATTGTTTCTTTTTGGTTTGCTTTTTAAATAAAATGGAGACTTGAGAGCGAAACGCTACCCAGGATGGCAGCATGCAAGGGAGGCAAGGATTAAATGAACCAGGAATCTACAGACATTGAGGAAAAAGCCCAGAGAGCTTCTTAAGTAATACATATAGATCAACATATAATCAATGATAGTATTTTAAGAGAATTTCAATTCAATTATCTGAAAGTTTATCAGCAGAACTCTCCTGACGTCTCCCATAAAGTATTTATTTCTGAATTTCAATTACTGCAAGCACTGTGTTTTATACAAGCTATGCTCCATTAACATGATTTTCCCCTTAAAGTAATGATATATGATGAAGGTTATCACTAGAGATTTCAAATCAACTTTCAGTCCCATAGGTGAGGTAGTGTAGTCATTTGCATTCCGTGCTGGTTATGAGAAGTCCTGTTTAAATCTGTCAGATTTTTAATTTTTACTTTAAATAAGCGGCTTAATGTATTTATTAATGCTATGTTACCTATGGGTGGTGGGGAGAGGAGGGGAAAAAAACAAAGTCTTGCCAAGAGCAAGTTTTGTCTCACTGCAAGATAAAACTTTTGAAAAGCGGTATTTACAAGGTCCTTTGCTGCCTACTGTACATGCACACAAAGACACAAAAAGCTAATATACATACTGAGGTAGGAAATGAAGAATTCCACTGGCTTGTTCAAGATTCTTCATGTTTTGTAAACCAGCAAAACCAAAGTTTTCTGTGGTGAGGTTCAATACTTAGTTCTGTTGTTAGAATAACATCTAAATAACAAAGCATCATTGGTATACAATGTGCATCCACCGCTATGTAAAAATCTAAAAAACGGGGATTGTTTTCAGTAGCTGAATTTCTCCTTCACAAAGTAAATAAAGGAAATATCTCCAGCTCATTTCCTTAATAAACTTTTTATATATCTACACTAATAGCACAAGCCATTGAAAATGTACTACAGGTTTAGCCATAAAGTATGCCAAAGACTAAGATTTTGAAATAGAAATTTACTGGTCCCAGTGATCAGAGAACAAATATATTTGTAACTTTATGCAGTTAGGCACTTAAGTAAAAAAAATGTAGTGCCTGAATGCCTTAAAAAAAAATAAAAATCTGTCCTTAGACTTTCACAATACTTTGATTCCAAATTACCACAAACAAGCAGAAAGCTTGAAGGTGCTGGGACAGTAAGTCACAATACAGCAGTGAATTTTAACAAGCCTATGGGATTCAGATGCCAGAGGATCCAATGCACACTCATCCAAGAACTGCATCACACATCTGCCTTTCACAGTATGTTGTTATTCCTCCCCCTAACTGTAGAGAAGAGAGCAGTATGCGGCAGCACCTCTGCCGTTCCAGTTCTCTTAACTCTATACTGGAGAGCTGAGACAAAGGCATATAGTCAATAAAAGCCTACTACTATTCCATTTTACTACTACCACAAGCCTACTGCTTTTATTCAATAGGAGTCCACTCTGGGACAGGGATGGGAACAGCAAGAAGCAACGAGCTGTTCCAGAGCATGCTTGCCAGAATCTCCTCATGCTGTCATGTCGTCCTAACTGATGTACGAAATAAGCATTTAACAAAAGCTGTATGTGCTGCTTAAGGTTTGCCTACCAGGAAAAAAAGAAATCTTAAAAGAATTCCAGGTATAGAAGTCATTGTGCATAAACACCTGTTAGGAGGCTTTCACTGAGATGCAGAGTGGCATTAGTTACTGTGGCATAAGT